TCGGGGTCGCGCTCAGCCGTCATATCCGGGGCTTTCCCTGGCAACCGTGCCAGCGTCCCAGGCAACGCAGGCCGGGGACCGGAGGAACCATGGAACTTTCCATTGCGCCCTGGGAGCGGGGGAGGACAGAGGCGAAGCGGTCCATTTAGACGGCGAGGAGAGGGAGAAGCAGCAGAGAGGTCCTGGGAACAGAGAGAAGGCCTTCGCCCCAGTGCCGGGTCCTGGGGTCCGGCTCCGCAGGGAACTCGATGTTCTCTCCCGGGGAAAGGCAGTCCTCCGCGCTTCGCCGTCGCTGCCGAGGGCTGGAGCCAGTCCAGGCGAGCCCCACCCGCCCCTGCCAGCCCGCCCGCTCGGCCTCTTACACCTCTTGATCCTGAAGTGCGTGTAGTGCCTTGTCTCCCGAGGCGCGGAGAGTCCTCCTGGCCCCTCGAGCTAAGAGCAGCCTGGCCCAGTTTCTCCTGCCCTACTCTCCGCAGCTCCCAGAAAGGATCCACCCCGAAGGGGTGGAGGGCTCCCGAGGCGGCTCTGACTCACGCTTGCTAGCGTGGTTTCGACCAGACTTTCAACCAGAACGACCCCCACAATCTGGCCCTTAGCTGGGAGCTCCTGGGGCGGCTCCCCACCCGGACCCTCCCACCAGTCCAGACTCCCAGCCCCAGGCATCCCCACCCAGGAAGAAGTTAATGAAATAAAATGAACTCACTGAGGCCAAGCTGCTAAGTTACTAAAGGTAAGCAGGTTGAGGTATGAAGAAATGATTCTATTCTTGTTTTAACTTAAACTTTGGAACTTTCTAGTCATGCGTCAATGCCTGCATATACCTCAGACCTCCCGACAACTGAGAAACTACTCTGATACCCAGACCACCTGACATCCAGTGTGCAGACCGCTGGTCAGCTAGAGAACTACCCATCCAGAGGCTAAGAATGAACTGATTCTTCTGAAAAATGTACCCTATAAGCCTTTCTTCCTTCTCAGGAACACTCCAAGTATTGCTTAATTGTGCTACCAGTTTGCCAACCCTAAGATCCTTGGATAAATCTTTGCCATTTCTTTATATCAAAGCCTCCAGACACTTACTGAGTTCCTTGGACACCAGGAGCCCCAGTTAGAGCTTTTACTTAGCATTTAAAGGTGTTTCCCTTGAGAAAAGAACTTCCCAGATTGTCTGAACCCCTCCCTTGTTCACAAGGTCTTTGCTCGTCTAAAGTAGTTCCCAATCGAACCAATTTGAGCTCTGAGTTGTGTAGAATGAGGATGAGGTGGTGGTACAGGTTAGGGCTCCCACAAACACCATAGAAAACAGAACGAGGAGCCATGATTTACATCTCTGCAGCCTGGGACTGGCCCAGCTGAGGGTCTCTGTTTAGACATGAAGGGGAGGACACAGCCCAGGAGAGTGACCGTGTCTTGGCGGGTGGAGGGGGTTAAGAAATGGACCTGAGCCCTGGCAGGCCCAGGAACTCTAAGAAGCCCAGAAGCAAAGGGAGAACAGGGGATCAAGTACATCTTCCCAAGCCAGCTGCCAGAAATGAGCAGCCCCGTCACCTCTCCCTCTCCCAGAGTGCCTTAACTCCTTCACCCTGGGGGAAGGAAGTATGGGTGCATGCCCCAAGCTTCCCCGCCATCCTGCCCCCTCCCCATGGGGAAGGGAGGGGGCTTTCTCCCAACTGTTACAGCCCGAGCCTCCCACTGTACTTCCCCATTCGCCCAGGCCTGGGTGGCGGGTTGGAGCTATAACCCTGGGAACTTTCCAGGCCATCGCAGGTCTCAACTCTGCATACACACCTCTCTCATACACAGTTGTCTCTTCTAAAGTGAGGAGAGGAGGGGCAAGAATTTGGGAGAAGATTCTGGGACCGG